CAATTTTTATCCATATAATTTTCAATCTTGTCTCATATGCTTGAGGGTGTTTCAGGACAGATACATTTCAGGATATCAGATACCAGGAAGCAGAAAGATACTGAATTATGTGTACAAAGGAAATAAAGAAAGTAACAATTATATCTCACCAAGTTCTACATCTTGGTCATCTGTGAGTACAAGAATAATATTTGGTCTGATGTTTTTTCGTTCCTGCTGCACACGTCCTCTGAACCTTGGAGATTTGACAGTTGAACAGAGACTTCTTATCCACTCAGTACTGAGCACAGTCAGAAAGAGTGCAAAGCAAGAATACTTCATTGTAGTTCCTCTAGTCCCGAAGTGCCTGATCTTTTTTTCCTCTAAGGTCTGTAAAGAGCAAAAGAAATTATGTTAAAACAGTGAATAAATTTGCAAAATCATATGGGTAAAGGCAATACCCAGAAAAAGCAAATCTGACAAGTAAACATGATTGTAAGTCATATAAATTAATAACAGCTTTAAACTATGTCATTTTATAAGAGTAAATTTAGGCATTTTGCAACTTCACTTTCTTATTTTACTTTTGATTCCAGTTATTCCACTGAATACATATATTCCAGTATATAATACATACTTTTTCTTCCCATCTTTTTATAGGGCAGTATACCTTAAGTTCAGGTCCTGGTACAGTAATGAATTGCTATGATGCAAAAGTATTCAGAACATCAGTAGGAGGAGCCCTATAAGAAAGAAAAAGCAGAAGACATGTCAATCTAAGACCTCATAACTGTTTGTGTGCTCTGAAGTAAGTCTCCAGACTTGAACATCACAGCTTCTCTTTTCTATCCTAAAATAAAAAAGTAGAACATCCCTCTGCAACATTCACCATGCCTATGCGGTCCGTTTAAATAATGTCTTCCCTGTTGTTTAGACTAAAGATTTATCTTGAGATAAACAATATCTATACCATCACATCATCATTAGGTGAATTTTCCAAAAACTCTCCAAATAAGTGTTTATTTCAGGCTGGTGGCACCTGGAAAATAAGAGCGTTATTTTACGTTAACTCACCTGCATCAGAGATTAAACACTCACAAAGCAGAGAGGACAGTAAGTCTGTCATTTGTAATCTGCATTGTACTGCTACATTAAAAAGTCATCTTTCTGCTGACAGGAGAGCTCATATTAAGTGACAGTCTGGATGATCTTATCCAGCATTGTGAAAGCACGTCACTGTCCCTCATCAATCAACAGTACAACTGAGTGCATCATCTATAATGCACAGTACCTCTGGCAAACCCTTGTCCTCAATAGTCTCCTTCCAGACTTGTCTCAGTATGCCTATCAGAACCCCCTCTCAGTGCTTGTCTGTCAAACAGCCTTGCTTTTGTAAGACTTGATGCAAGCACAGAGGTTTTGCTTTGCTGCAGCAGATTTAAACCTGCAACTGAAAATGATTGATTGGCCTTGGGATGAAAGGTTAGCCATTTACTCTTTTAACATTTTTTGCATTACTGACTGCAGCCCTGGAAAAAACCTCAAATTATACAATAGAGGGGAAATAAAAGCTTGGAGTAATGCCCACTCACTTTAGGGCATTAACCTGATGACAGTGTTAGTTTTATTTTGGAACTATAGCTGCCTCCTCATTTGGAAAATATAGGGAAAAATCATTTGGGAAAGTCGGCATAGGAAACTAGGCTGCACAAGCCTTAATTAGAATGAAGCACAATTCATTGGAAGATCTCTACTCCCACACCTGAGACTTCATCTTTAGATATGCAACATTAAGTAGTGCAGACAAATACGCAGAGCTAATTTAATACAAGCAATGCACAGCAAGAAAATAAAGGGCCCCATCACTCACCTAAAAATACAACAAAAAGAAGGTGCTTTAAACCTCAACAGAGCAGAGTGGAAGGGACTCGACACTGGACTGCTAGAAAAAAAGATCCTGTTCTTGTTTTCACACACACCTTTTATTTTAAGCTTCACAAGGTACCCTATAAACAGTTTCATGCTCCTCACTGTGGCAGGCTGTAATTACAGCAGAAGAGTGTGAACGTCTTTAAAACAAGAATTCAAGTGTCTGTTTCAAAGTTATCCTGTCTGCTACTGTCTGTGCACCAACAGACATTCCAGTCTGTGATTGACATTCTAGCAATGCAAAGCCAGCGTGCAGGATCAGCATTTAAAACTAAATGCTAGGCAGTGATTGTGTGACACTGAGATAATAAGTAAATGGGAAGTGTGCAATTAATCTGGGTTAAGTTTTAAAAATATTTCAAGCTCCCATGCATTTGTCCTAACTCACTTACAAAATGACAAAAGCACTGAATAGGATTACTGAAGACATAAGCATTCTTCTGACAGACACCAGACATCACATGCTTTTGGTGCAAAAGCAAAAATACAATTTCTCTAAATGCCTGATCTTTAAATAGCAAAACTTTGACTCACCTCACAAAGCCTGAAAGGATATGTGAAGTGAGACTCAGTGTTTAGTTTCTTACATCAGTTATACTGTACAGCAAACTTTTTCAGACAATGTTGACCTAGAAAGTGCAGTCATCCTGACTACACTGAGCAAACATTGGCACCAATGTGTTTGAATAATCCCCTGCAGTATGAAACTGCAAGGTCCTGACAATTACACCTCAGTGCTAATAAAATTTACACTAATCCTAACCAACATTAGCAACTATTCTTCAATTCATCTTGTTTGGACTACAGTTGCCAGTCATTAAAATAATATCTCTTAGCTTAAATTTTATTTTATGAAGTCAACACCCTGGTCATACAATTCTCTTCTAGAAAAAAAAAGGTGAAGTTACTTACCAACTGTGTCTTTTTCCTTGATATGGGAAGGGAAACATATGAATTGATCTAAAATTTAACATAATGACCTTAAGTTTACTTATCGATTCTTGCACAAGAGCACAGCAATCATTGGTCGTCCACAGTACTCTGAATAACTGCATCCCTTTTTTGCACAATTGTGTATTCAAAAATGACCTTGTAAAACCTGTCATCCTTTCACAGCTTGGTTTCCAACTAGAGAAGGAAATGAAGTAAAGGAGAAAACAGACAAAATGCTGGCTTGATAGAGGAGACAAGGATGCAATGTTTGTGTTGGATATTCGGTCTTAGTCTACAAGTGCCCTTAGAGACACTGCAATTTGTCTTGAGAAACAGTTGAAAATAGGAGAAATTTTAAGAGACCTTTTTTACTTCACACATGGAAAGTAAACTTAAAGCATTGTGCAGTATACAAAAAATCAAGACCTGATTACAAGTTGCCTTTCTTTAGAATGGTAAATGAAAACACGGATTGTAACTTCGATACATGCTCTATGGGAACTTTAAAAGTTTTTTTCGTATATGACAACTGAAAAGTTGTCAGTGCATATATAACCAAGGCATAAGAAAATCCAAGAAGATCATTTTACCTCATTTGGATATAATTTTTAGTTTATAGTCATTCTTTTTTTATTTGAGCACTAGTTCTTAATTTGCATTCATTCATCCAATGTTTGTGGGTTAAAAAAAAGAAGACAATTTAGCACTCTAGCTTGTAACTTCATGGATAATTTCAGCAGATGGTTTAAGGACTGATGGGCATGGAGAATGAAGCCCCATTAAATCTTTAGGACAGTTTCTTCAAGAGAGGCTTAAAGTATAGTGGTGAAGAACTAGGAAGAACCTACAGTACTAATGCAATGGGTGCACTTGAGGACTTCACTCTTGAAAACCATTGTAAGTAACTATCCTCACATTTCATACACATTTTGGTAAAATATTCAGAAGTAATTTGTGATTCTACTGCCCCTGTTTTAGCTCCTGATTTATGACACCATATAAGAGGACTTCTATTCAATGCTGAGTGTTTTCCCTATGAAAGTTAGAAATATCTAGGAATCTTGATTGTTGTTCACTGACGGCACCGTCTTGTGAACAGCTTTAATAAAACACTTGCTAGGTTTCAATTACACTTTTCATAGACATTGTCTTATGGCAGGCTATATTTTGCCTTTTCCCCTGGGATATTTTTTTCACTCTTTTTTATATCCTGGAGATATGGTCTGAGGGCAATTTTTCACCTGATGTCTTAAAGACATGGCTTCCAAATATCACAAGACTCCAACCTTCCTTTTTCTACAGAAAAAATACACAGCATGCAACAATTTGTAGGAAGCTGTGTAATTTTCACTCCTTGTCAACTTGTTTTAACTTTTTAATTTTCTAAGGAAGTGAGCTGGCTCTGTGAGCAACATGCTGTTTGTGAGCCTTGGGTTGGGGACCACTGCTTTAGTGGCACAGAGATGAAAGAAGAGTTTTAGTGCCAACTGACGGAGATTTCTTTTATCTTAAATGGTAGTGCCCTGTGGATTTGAGGCATTAGAACAGGAGTTATGGTTCTCGATCTCCTGTTCTGTGAGATCTTCTTCTGAGAGATTTGGCTGTCCTGTTCTGCGAGATCTTTGTAGTAACTGTGTCTATTGTGGATCTATTGATCACAGAATGTAAATTAGGTAAAACAGAAGTCCTAATATAAGAGACTCCTGCTCGTGTAATTGAAGTTCTATTCTCACCCAATATCCACAATTTTACTGGACAAGTCAAGCTCTCTGTACTTTAATTTCCCCATCTGTAAAAACAGGCTAATTATATATAACCTACATATATGCCCCGCATGAGTTCTGTAAACCTTAATCAGAATTTCTAAGGTGTTTTTGATATAAATGAGCACACCAATGCCATTATTATGGTATTATTAAGGAAAATACAATAACCAAACGCATAGGACATAAGAAGCATGATGGTTTTTACCACAGCCTGTGTAATAACCTGCCTTTTCTCCTTTAAAAAAAAGGTTATCCTGTATAATACATGATGGGGAGGGGGAAAAAGCCAAGTCACAATCTCAAGAAAAAAAATTATTCTTATATGATGCTCTAGAAGAAAACAAATCAACACCAATTACCTTGAGAGAACATTCCTATATGACCCCAGACATGGTGGTCAGTATCATTTGATACATGTTAATGTTGATCATCTGACTCAGTACTAGTAGTTAAGTTAAATCTGGCAGGAATTTGATTTTAGTTTTCACAGCTGTCAGTAAAACCAGAGCTTCTGGAGAGAAGCAAATGACAGAGGCCACAAGGTTGGCTGTTCATAAGAAAGCAGTTATGGGACTCCATACTTCTTGAGACTTTTTTAAAACTGTCACCATAGCTTTAGAGGCCAATAAAATTGACCCACCCATCTAGCCTAAAACGGCAAGTCTCACATAAAAATCCAAAAATCTAAGTAGATCTCACCTGATTCGGACAACCAGTAATACAGTGAAAATCAGAATCAATATTTTATACCTGTCATTTTTAGTTGTTTTCCTTAAAGATGCTGAGAAAAAACCCAACAAAGAATGATCCTGAAATATCCAAAATGAACAAGTCCATAAGCACCTCTCTAAGTCAGTGGGAGTTTTATACTCAGAAAGGCTCTGATAAGCAAAAAGGATTAAATTATTTTCTCAACACACAGACACAGATTCCATGATGTGTGTGCATCAGAGATAGAACATATGCTTTTGTGCTTATCATAACTTGAGTTATAACAAGTGTACTGATAAAAATGTGAGCTAGCTATGAAATTAGTAATTGCGCAGAAAGTAAAAGATGACATAATTAAAGGCCTTGTGAGACTAGATATTAAATTTGCATCAAACCAGCGTGGT